TTTGAACACGTGTGGTATACGTACGTATACTTTAGGCCTACACACGTGTAGATAAAATTTTTTTAAAGGATGTTAGTGGTTCCATAATGCCATTTTTCTGTATTTGGATCAAACTTAGAACCTCAAGTCTGCTAGACTACTGATCTACACCCCAATCCTAGAGCATAATCTTGTGAGTATAAACAGGAAGATCTCCTATACTATTTAAACTTAAAATGTAGTGAGTGAGTAGTTTCTAGGTAGGGTTGGCAAATTTGAAACTTTGAACTTGCTTTATAATGTTAACTTCAGGAGAAAGGCAGCGTTACTGTAGTAGTACAAAGTTCAAAGGAAGAAGAAACACTTTATGCCTAAAATTACACTGCAGTAGCTTTTGTTCCTTCCTACTTTTCCTTTGCAGTTATTTGTGAAGTGTTGGTTACTGTTTTACTTTTTTCATGTTTAGTTCATAGACTGTCACTTAGGGCTTTATGTCTTAGAGGCTGTATGAGAGTTTGCTTCATTATTTGTTTATGTATCCAGTAAATATATACTGAGTATCATTTATGTACTGGATACTAAGCCATAAGAATGGCCCCTAGGGATGCATCTGTTAACAAAAGACAATACAAAATGGATAATCCTTTTTGTGTTCAACCTAGACTCACTTATTAGACCTGCTGTCCCTTTTTTCCCATAAAATATATTTTGGGTAACTTAAGCCATAATTAGGAACTGAACTGACCATACCATAATTTCCTTTTACTTTTGAGACAGGGGTCTCCTTGTAGCTCCCAGCTGACCTGGAGCTCACAACATAGACCGAGCCAGCCTCAGTTTGGCCTGCCTCTGCCTCACAAATGTTGGGATTAAAAGCATACACCACCACGACCAACTCCATCTTCCTTGTTCTTACCCCCCTCCCCAACTCAGTCTTGTCAACATTATTTTCCCATTTGTATAATATAACGTAGATTAGTTCTTATCAGTTACATACAGATATGCTAGGTCTTCATTTTAAGGTGGCAGAGTTAAATCTCTAGTTTATTTTTGAGGCAGGGTCTCACTATGTAGCCTTGACTGACTTGGAACTCGCTATATATGTCAGGCAGGCCTCCAACTCAACAGAGATCTGCCAGGATTAAAAGCTACCATGCCCGGTTTTTGTTTTGAGGTAGACTCTTGAGACAAGAGTCCTGTGTAGCCCTGGCTGGCCTGGAACTGGCTATGTAGAGCACAAAGAGATCTGCCTACCTCTACCTCTGCCTCTGGTTCCTGTGTTGTAATACCATCCCATGGCCCATAAGTAGACATTTTTTAAAAGTACTCAAATTGCTGAGGGGTGAGGTTTTTTGTGGCTTTTTTGTTGTTCCCTGTGGTTCTGGGGATTGAGGCCAGGGCCTCACATATGTTAGGCAAGAACTGGAACCACTAAGTTATCTCACCAGCTATAAGTTGTTGGTTCTTAAATTCTAGATAGGTTTTGGTTCTGTTCTACTACCCTATGAGATTTGTCCACTAATTTTTCACTAAGCAGTAATTAGTGTATCTATAGAAACTTCAAGTATAGGAATACTGTATTTTCTACACATAAACAGGTCACATAGAAGAAAAGTTTACTGCATTGAGAAAATTAGGATTATATTGATCAATACTAATCATAAAAGGAACATGTGTTTCTTGAAAAGTGGAGATTTATTTTACTTTGATTTTTCAGACACTACTTGCCTTTGTCCTTTTCTTTGCTTCAACTTTTAAGGGATGTTGCACTAAATTTGTCCCCAGGGTTGGCCACCAAGCAGGAAATTCATACCCACTTTAACAAGGTGTGAAGCTTACCTTAAGAGTCGCTAATGCTTCGCTGACCTTTTGGAAGGGGCCTTAGTCACTCATGAAGTTGAGCAATTTTTCCTCTCTAAGAGCTAATTAAGTTTCTTATTTCTAAAATGTTCTCCTTGGCAAATGTTGAGAAGGCTAGTAGCAGCTCTGATCCTGCATCTATCAAAATTTATAACTTCCTAGAGAAGTTTTCTTTCTGGCAGAAAGCCTGGTCTTAATCCTGGGACTGCCCTGTTGAAAGTTTGCTGTACCATTTATCACCTTTATTCTGGTTTTCTCCTGCCCTGCTTTGTGGCAGTTGGCATGTGTCAGTACCTGAGGGCTTCCTGTTTATTTTTCCCTGGTTTGATTCTTTGCTAAATTACTATTACTGTCTTTATTTTTCAAATTTCATATTGGACCTTGCCTTAATGATCTTTTTGATCATTTTCTATTTGTGTAAAAGTTCACTGAGTACAAATCCCATATGATTTCATTATTTTGAAGGTGCTTTCATTATTTACTAAATCTTTGTGATTTTGATAATTTGGGGTGGGGGGTCTTTTTGAGACAGGGTCTTCTTGTAGCCCCAGCTGTCCTAGAACTTACTATGTAGACCAGGCTGGCCTCGAACTCACAAAGATCCACCTGCCTCTGCCTCCCAAATGCTGGGATTACAGGTGTGTGCCACCACACCCAGCCAATTTTGATAATTTTTGAAGTATTTGTGTATGTGTGTATTTTTAACTCCTTTCCTTTGCAAGGGGGTTGGGGCTTGAGAGTTTCCCTGTAACCACAGCTGGTCTGAAACTTGTGGCCTCAATCTCAGTAATCCCCCTGCCTCTACTCTCCTGAGAGCTGAGATTAAAGGTGTGTACCACCATGCCTTGCAAATTTGTGTGTGTCCTGTGCATGTTTGCATGTACTTGAAGGTCAGAGGACAACTTTGTGGGTTTGGTTCTCTTCTTCCCTCCTTTATGTGGGTTCCAGGGATCAGATTCAAGTTTGTCAGACTTCTACCATGTCTTTACCCACTAAGCCATCTCATTGGCCCCTAAATTTAAAGAAAAACTTTCTATTGTGAAATGTAATCATTTTAAGCATTGTGTATGCACCCCTCCCCCAACAAAAGCAAATCCCACTTTTCAGATCTAATCAGTAGGATTGGCAGCTTTCCATAAAAATTGCCACTGACATCTGTCAGGACCTGGTTTTGACTATGTGTATGGGAAAGAGCGGGGGGGGGGGGGGGGGGGCAGAGAACACTTGGGCCATGGTGCTTCTGTGGAGGTCAGAGGACAACTTTCAGGAGCTGTTGTCAAATCCCAAATTATTCTACTGTGGGTTCTAGTGATTGCAAACTTTGATCATCAGGCTTGTACAGAAAGTGCTTTTACCCACTGAGCCATCTTGCTGACCCTCCTGGTTAACTTTTCAATTACTTTTCCATGTTTTTAAAATAAATTTTGTGTGTATGAGTGTATTGCCTGCATGTACATAAGTGTACCTATGTTGTGCACTGCCGTTAGAGGTCAGAAGAAGGTGTTGGATTCCCCTGGAACTGGAGTTAGGGATGGTGGTTAGCCACCATGTGAGTGCTGGGAATTGAACCATATCCTCTGCAAGAGTAGCCAGTGCTAGTACTCTAACTGCTGAGCCACCTCTCCAGCCACCCATGTGTTTTTTTTTTTTAATCACCTTCATAGTTGCTTAACTGTGAAATACAGTGTAGCTATTAACTTGTAGTTGTTAGGATGGGAACAGGCATTTTGCCATGTTGTCTCAAACTGGCAATCCTTCTGCCTTAGCCTCCCAACTTAGGATTTATGTCACTTCTTTGCGGGGGGGGGGGGGGGGGGGGGGGGGGGGGTTTGAAAAGTACTCTCTCATTGCTCTCCTTCCCACGTAGGTCTTGAGGATTGAACTTAGGTTGTCAGGCTTGGTGGCAGGCATGCCTTTATTTGCTAAGCCATCTCCCTGGCCCCATTATTTGGAGGGGGGGTACTAGATGTTGCTAGATATTAGATGACATATGGTAAATAGCCTTCAAACTGTATTCCCAAATTCAGCAGAATCTTGTAATTCTTTTATTTATTTTTTTTGTCTTTTTGAAACAGGGTCTCCCTGTAGCCCCCGCTGGCTTGGGACACTCACTATGTAGACCAAGCTGGCCTTGAACTCACAGAGATATGCTTGCCTCTGCCTCCCAAGTGCTGGGACTACAGGAGTGCACCACCATGCCCAGCCTTATGTTTATGTACTTTTTTTTTTTTTGGTCTTTTTGAAGCAGGGTCTCCCAGTAGCCCCAGCTGTTCTGGAACTCACTATGTAGACCAGGCTGGCCTTGAACTCACAGAGATCCGCCTACCTCTGCCTCCCAAGTGCTGGGACTACAGGTGTATGCCACCACACCCGTCAGTGGTCACATTCTTTTTATTACAAATTTGGGCTGTGTATGACTGACTTGATGTGCATATTAACCAAATCAGCATGGTTATTGTTGTTCACCTGTTCACCTTTTACTTTAATAAAATCAGGAATATAAATTGAGGATTTAAAATTTTTTATTTATGTATATATGTGTATGTGTGCAATGCGACATGTGTATGGGTGCCTGAAGAAGCCAGAAGAAAGGGTGTAAAATCTCCTGGAGCTGGAATTACAGGTGGTTGTGAGCCACCTGATGCCGATTTTGAAAACCAGACTCAAACCATCCTTTTTTATACTCTGGAGTAGAATTACTGCATCTTTTTTTTTTTCCTTGTCACACCACCAATTGCAATGAAGCAACATAAGTTGCTACTTCACTGCCCCTTCTGGACGGCTCAATGGCCTTTTTTTTTTTTTTTTTTTTTTTTTTGAAGACAGGGTTTCATCATATAGCCCTAGCTGGCCTGGATATCACAATGTAGACCAAGCTGGCCTTAAACGCACAGAGATTGACCTGCCTCTGCTTCTTGGATTATAGAAGTAAAGGTGTGCACCACTGCACCCAGCATAATTAGTTCTTAAAATGTATTGTTAGAAGTTGGATGATCTTAACTCAGTTAAGTACAGAACATAGCTGAGTGCTTTTTTTCACTACATTTTGTCTCTGTAGAGGTATAAGAAATTACTGTCATAATTCCTTTATTGTGAGCTCCTTTTATTAAAGTAGATAAGTCAGCACTTTAGCAGATCTAACATGTGCATGTCTCTTTCAGGTTTTGGCTTGGTTTGAAGAAGGTGAAGAAACAATTACAGCCTTTGTAGAACCTTTTGTAATTCTACTTATATTAGTAGCCAATGCAATTGTGGGTGTGTGGCAGGTAAGCAAAAAATTCCTGCAGTGTTAAGTGTTAAATTTTGGTAGTTTAGTGATTTTAGATAACAGCCTGGATGTTACCTCTTTCCTTATATGTTGGATAAAGTATGTCTGTTGACATCTCAAGGGGGTGTGGTGGTATAAACCTGTAGTGCTAGCAGGTAGATCTGAGTTGGAGGCCAGACTGGTCTACACAATGAGACCCTGTCTTTAAAAAAAATGCTTATCCAGCTGGTCATGATGGCTCACTCCTGTAATTCCATTCACTCCTGTAATTAGGAGGGTGAGGCAGGAATATTGCCAAGGCAGTGGTTTGAGGACAGTCTGATCTACCTAGTGAATTCCGTACCAGTCTCAACATGAGACCATTCCTCACTTCTTCCCAAAACAAAAATAAGATTGCTTATCCTTTGTAGTAATAAGGAATTAAACTACGGGAAAGATTGGGAATATAGTGCGATCAAGTTTTACTTTACAAAAAGGAAACCCTGGCTTCTATCCCTAGTACCACTACTAAAAGAAGGAAGGAAGGTAAGAGGGAGGGAAGGGAGAAGAAAGAAAACAAAGAACAAACTTGTATGAGAAGCTGGGCGTAGTGAAGTATTCCTTATAGTCCAGCACTGAAGAAACTGGAGTAGGAAAATCTTTTGAGACCAGCTGATCAACAAGAGCAAGACCCCCTCTTGAAACGAAAATAGAAATGGACGATGAAAAGCTACTTCAGGAAACCAGAGACTTTAAGGACTGTTACTTGCTTTTGTATTCCCTAGTTTTTTCAGTGACAAATGTAACAAAAATGTTATCTTTATTAAATATTGAGGGAATTTTAGCTAAAGAAATTCTCTGAACTTCATTGTTTTCAAGTTACTCCTTTTTTCTCTCCATTACCCAGGCTTTCCCTACACACAAAATGAAAGCTAATTTTACTACAGAATGCAAGGGCACTTTTCTTCAAAATTGTTCTACAGATATCCACTTGAGGATTTTAGTTTTTGAGTGTTGCTGTTTTGGTACTTTAATTTTTTGAAAAAATTTTTCTTTTATGTGTGAGTGTTTTGCCTACATGTATGTAGGTACACCCTTATTGTTCAGTGCCCACAGAGGCCAAAAGAGGGCGTCAGACCTTCTGGAACTAAAGTTTATGGGTACGGGTGCTCAGAACTGAAGCTAGGTACTCTGCAAGAGCAACTGATACCATCTCTCCAGCCCCATAGCACTTTATTTTGTCCTTTGCTTAGAGTTTTAACAGGCACTTAAAACTAATGCTTCAAATTAATCTTTCAAGGAAGTATTTACTTTTTAAAAAATATTTTATTAGCTGGGCGTGGTAGCGCACACCTGCAGTCAGTCCCAATGCTTGAGAGGCAGAGGCAGGTGGATCTTTGTGAGTTCAAGGCCAGCCTGGTCTACACAGTGAGTTCTAGGACAGTTGGGGCTACAGGGAGACCCTGTCTCAAAAAGACCCCCCGCAAAAAATTTTTTATTATTTTAATTTTATATGTATGTGTGTATTGCCTGCATGTAGGTAAGTGCACCTGTGTTGTGCAATGCTTTCGGAGAACAGAAGACGAGGCTGTCAAATCCCCTGGGACTGGAGTTACAGACAGTTGTTAGCTGCCATGTGGGTGCTGGGATTTGAACCCAGGTCTTCCGCAAGAACAGCCAGTGTTCTTAACCACCGAGCCATTTCTCTAGCCCTTAAGTATTTACTTTTAATGAGACAGCATCTTACTATGTAGATCAGGCTGGCTGCAAACTTAAGACCCTTCTGATTCAGTCTCCTAAGTATTTGGAATGACAGGCAAGTGTTGTAGTGCTCAGATTGTCATTAGAAGCACAGCAGGCCTAAGAAGGGGTGATACATCTATAACCCCAGTACTCAGGAGGCAGAGATAGGAGTTTAAACCTCTGAAACCCCCTCCTTTTTTTGAGACTAGGTCTCAAACTGTATTGGAACTCAGTAGGTACAGCAGGCTGGCCTTCAGTGAGATCCAACTGCTTCAGCCTCCCAAGTGCTTTTCCCAGTCCAGCTTTTTCTTTTTAATAAAAAATTGTAAGTGCCCTTATAAAAATGTTTGTTGTCTTAATGTTAGTTGTTTAATGTAAATGTCATTAATGAGCTTTCTTTTTAATTAAAACTAATAAAAATTTTGATTCCTAATCTAGAAATAATTAATGAGGCAGGCAACTTTACCATACTTTTTTTTTCCCTTTATATAGGAAAGAAATGCTGAAAATGCAATAGAAGCCCTTAAGGAGTATGAACCTGAAATGGGCAAAGTGTATCGACAGGACAGAAAGAGTGTACAGCGGATTAAAGCTAAAGACATAGTTCCGGGTGATATAGTAGAAATTGCTGGTGAGTTAGAGTTTCTCTTTTTCCTAGATTATTATTTCTAAATGTGGTCCTTTTCTCAAAGCTTATAATTATATTTAGAAATGTTTTCACATATTTAAAATATTTTCATATATCAATTATGTTACATTTTAATGCTTGTTTTCTGGTCTCAAACTCCTGAATTGAAATGATCGTCTTGCCTTAGCCTCCTAAGTAGTTGGGGCTATTAGGAAGTTTTTGTGGGCTTTTTTGTTTGTTTTGTCTTTTTGAGGCAGGGTCTCCCTATAGCTGCAGCTGGTCTGACTTCTTTATGGAGACCAGGCTGGCCGTGAACTCACAGAGATCCGCCTGCCTCTGCCTCTCTCAAACTCACAAAGATCCACCTGCCTCCTCCTCCCAAGTGCTGGGATTAAAGGCGAGTGCTGCCGTGCCTGGCAAGTTTTTGTGTTTTAAAGAAGATATTTGAATTGTTATAGTTACTAGTTGAGATACATTGTAGAACACTAGCGCTAGAAGTAGAGAAGTGGAACTTAATGTTGACTTGATTGATATTTAGCTTTAGTGAGCACTTTGTTAAAATGCACACTGGGCTTGGTTGTGTGTCTCAGGAGGCAGAGGCAGGCAGATCTCTGAGATGGAGACCAGGTTGGTCCACATAGTGATTTTCAGGGGACTGGGACTAGAGAGACCATGTTTTTTGTTTTTTGTTTTGTTTTGTTTTTTTTTTTTTTTTTGAGACAGCAACAAAAAACTGCTTTTAAATAGCTACCTGTTTTTTTTACAGGGTTCTGAGGATGGAGCTCATGGTAGTGTGGCACATACTTTATTGACTGAGCTGTCTCCCCAGCTTCCCCTTTTCTTTTTCTCTGTTTTGGTTCTTGGTGCAGTTTTTGGTTTGGTTTGGTTTGTTTTTTTAAACAGGGTCTTACTATGTAGCTCTGGCTGTCCTGGAACTTGCTATTTAGGTCAGGCTGATCTTGTACTCCTTGAACTTCTTCTGGCCTCTGGGGCAATGAACACATGTGGTCCATTTACATATATGCAGGCAAAACATACATATAAAATGAAAATAAGTAAAATTTTAAAAGCATACTTGGAGTGACTGGAGAGGTGGTTCAGCGGTTAAGAGCACCAGCTGTACTTCCAGAGGACCCAGATCCAGTTCCCATCATCCACGTGGCAGTTAACCAGCATTCTGGCATTTACAGACATTGCATGCACATGGTGTGCCTACATACATATATACATACAGGCAAAACATTCAAACACATAAGATTTTTTTAAGTCCATACTTAAGCCAGGCCTGGTGGCACAGGCCTATAACTCCAGCTACTTGGAGGTAGGAGAGATCCCAAATTGAAGGCCTGTCTGGACTACACAGTGAATTCAAGGCCAACCTTGCTAATTTTGTGAGACTCGGTCTCAAAAAGAGGGCCAGAGCCCAGTGGTAGGTGACTTGCTTAGTATATGTATCATCCTGGGTTCAATATCCCATATGGGGAGGCGGGGGTATGGGGACAGGGGACAAAAACAAAAAACAACCTTAAAAATACCTCCAGTACACATTGAACCCCAGGGGTCTGTCTTAGTCTCCTGGAATCCAGGGATTGGCTTCAGAGAATCTATAAATCTACCACAAGCTCAGAGGTGTCTACATCAATTCCATATTTTTCAGATATCCTGGAATCGGATAGAATCAGCCAGTCTGGTTTTTATATTTTATTTCATTGACAGAAAGTTACTACAGAGGATTATTTAGAATATCATGGCTTTTTACATCCTTCTGATCTCAGAATAGTTTTTGTTTCCTTTTGCTTTCTAGTAATTAATGCTTTTCCATTGACTTAGGGAAGATATGCTTTATCTTAATTGTGTTATTAATGAAAATAATTTAAAAGCTTGACTGGACGTGGTGGTGCACCCCTTTAATCTCAGCACTTAGGTTGCAGAAGCGGACAGATCTCTGAGTTTGAGGCCTGCCTGGTCTACATGCAGCGTTCCAGGCTAGCCAAGGTTATATACTGAGACTCAGTATCCAAAACAAAACACCAAATTCCACCTTTCTCTGACTCAACAGCTATTGTATCTGAATTTGTCTTGTCATATGTATATTTGCATCAATATATTTTACTGTTCTTTCAGAAATAAAGGGTTAATGTTTGTATATGTACCAATAGGTTGGTTACCTTACTGCTGTTTAAGAACACTGTATGGGGGCTTGGAGAGACAGCTCAGCAATTAAGTTCATGTACTGCTCTTGCAGAGGACCCGTGTTCATTTGATTCCCAGTACTCAAGTTGGGAAGCTCACACCTGTAATTCCAGCTACAGGGGATCTAACACCCTCCGCTGCACTCTTGAGGGCACCTGTAATCACATGTACAAATTCATATGCTGACAAATTAAAAGTGTGCACTACCATGCCCCGTAGCACACATAATTGAAAAAAAAAAAAAAAAAACTTGCTGGATGTGGCAGCGCACACCTTTAATGCCAGCTCTCAGGAGGCAGAGGCAGGTGGAGCTCTGGGTTCAAGTCAGCCTGCTCTACATAGTGAGTTCCAGGCCAGCTGGGGCTACAAGGAGACCCTGTCTCAAAAAGGTTAAAAAAAAAAAAAAAAACAAAAGAAACCCCCACAAAACCCAACAACACTATTAGGGCTTGGAAGTACAGGCCTTGGTGAACTAAATTTAATCCCACATTGTAAGATGGAACTGACTGCTCAAAGTTGTCCTCTGTCCTACACACATTTGCCAGGGCGTATGTATGCCCACACATCATACATACACAACAGTAATAAAATGACAAGAAAAAAAATTTAAAGCAGGTTTAAAGCAGAGTGTTTTGGTTATTAGACATTAAAAAAAAAAAAGTTCAGGGACTGGAGAGTTAGTTTTGCAAGTTCAGATTCCCAGCACCCACTTCAGGAAGCTCATAACTGTAACTCCAGTTTCAAGGGATCCAATAAGTATTTTTATTTTGACATAATTTCAAATTTATTTCAAGTCAGAATTCCCCAAATTTCCAAATAGTAATCTTTTATTACATGTGCATTTCAATATTTTGTGTTTCTTGGGGGGTTTTGGTGCTGAAGATCAAACTTGATTTTTCTATATGCTAGACCAGTATTTTTCTAATTGTCAATTCAAGAAATATTTTAGGTTAGCATACAAAGTAATGGGTTTCATAATAGAATTTTCTTTTAAAAAATACTTATTTTATGTATATGTATGTGGCCGTGTGGGTAGAGGTCAGAGGACAAATTACAGGCTGTATCACTTTCTGAACAAGGCAACTTATGGAAGGAAGGATTTATTGGACTTACATAAATTCCAGGGGGCATTCATCAAGGACTGGAGCAATGGTAGCAGAGGTGACTGGAGCAGAAACGTGAGTGCTCACATTTTCAAGCAAGTACCAGAAACAGGTAGAATAGAAATGGGATGAAACCATATACTCTGAAGGCCTGCCCCCAGTAATGGTGCTTCCTCTAGCATAACCGTACTGCCAAAACCTCCACACATAGCCAACTGGGGCCAAGTAGTCAAATACTTATAGTCTATGGGGAGATTCTCGTGCAAACCACCACACACATTCTTTTCTTTCAGTATATGGGTTCTGGGATCAAATTTAGGTCATCAGGCTTGGTGGAAAGCGCCTTTACCTGCTGACAGTCTCACTAGTCTCATTATGGTATTTTCATACAATATGTGATTATGTTTTGTTCTAATTAGTCTTTCTGTCACCTTTTTTTAATAGCATAAAGTAAGATAGAAGAGGAAATTCTTGTGTAGAAATTAGGTCAGAGAACGACAGTGCAAGTGAGGAGGCCATTTTAATAGTCTAGGCAGAAAATGAGAACAAGAAGCAAGGACAGTAACATTTATAATGAAGAATTCAAGAATTTGTGAATGTTCTTTTTTTTTTTTTTTTTTTTTTTTTTTTTGAGAACGGATTTGCCTATAGCCCCAGCTGTCCTGGAATTTACAGATTTCAGAAGAAGGCGTCAGATCCCCTGGAACTGGAGTTACAGACAGTTGTTAACCACCATGTGGTGCTGGGAATCAAACCCAGGTCCTCTGCAAGAGCAGCCAGTGCTTTTAACTGCTGAGCCATCTCCAACCTTGAATAGTTCTTATATAGAAGGAATATACACCAGAATCACCTAGAGCCACTCTTTAAAAAAATTTTTTTTCATAGCCCCTTGACCCAGGTATTTACCATTTGGTGTGGGATTCTGGTCATACATGCTGGGTACTACCATGCTAACTAACTGTACTACCAGTGACCTGCATCCCCAACCAAGGAGCAGGTTTGGATTGTGGAATTGCTGTTGGGGATCAGGACATGTAGTCAAAAATAGTGACAGGCTATCTGGTCAAGTGACTGATAAGACTGTACCACTGGGGCTGGAGAGATGGCTCAGCGGTTAAGAGCATTGACTGCCCTTGCAGAGGACCCGGGTTCGATTCCCAGCACCCACATGGCGGCTGTAAACCGTCCTTAACTCCAGTTCCAGGAGAATCCAAAGCCTTCTTCTGACCTCCGCCACATTGCACGACACGGGTGCACTCACTTACATGCAGGCAATACACTCATACAGATAAAATAAAAATAATAAACTTTTTTTTTAAAAAAAAAGACTGTACTAATAACTAAGATAGAAAACCTCAAAGAAAAATAGTTTCATCTTTCTCCAGCCTCATATGGGAATATCTTGTCAGCCTCTCTAAGAATATTTTAAGCACCAGGCGTGATGGTGCATGACTTTAGTCCCAGCACTTAGGCGGCAGAGGCAGGCAGATCTCTGTGATTTGGCCAGCCAAATCACTATGTAGATTTGGTCTACATAGTGAGTTCAGAAAAAAAATTTTTTTTCTCTAATGCAACGCAACTTTGTGGTAGACCCAAATATACTAAGTCCACACAAAGACAGACAGACAGACAGACACACACACACACACACACACACACACGGTGTCATATCATCAGTAGAATGGTTTACAATGGTAAACAACTCAG